GCCGAGGTTTATAATGCTTGAGGTATATAATGACTTTCTCTACCGAGGAATATATAGAATTTTTTTTACTACTGCTAGTAGAAAATAAAAAATTTGTTTAAAATCTGTGTTCTAATTATTTTTTGTGAACGTCCTCTTGAAAGTGCTGCCCTCTATCAACAGCTTATATAACTTCCTATGTACCTACAGAAACCTGTATTTTTTTTCAAATTGACGTATGAAATTTAAATTGGACCAATAGAAACATGACAATATCCTTGCATCATGACGTCATTTTCATTATTAACCTAGGTATTTTTTCATTATTTTCATTATTAACCTAGGGAGAGAAATTCAATTTTTTCCTAGAAAAATAGATTGAATAATGACTATTTCTCAGGTTAGTAGTAAAAAATAGTACATTAAAATACAAGTTTCATAAGACGTGATTTTATCGCACGAGCCCTATATTAGAAAACGAGCCGGAGGCGAGTTTTCTAAAGGGCGAGTGCGATAAAATGTCTTATGAAACGAATATTTTATACTATTTTTTCTATTTTGGTATTGTTTAATTAAAAAAAAAAACAAATTTTCCTTGGAAATTTTATTCTCATATTTCCTGATTTCATGTTTAGGTTGGTAACACTACACGCCAAATATAGAAATCTTCTTTTTTATTTTTATTTTTACCAATAATAAAATCGCAAATGACAGTTCGATGGCCATCAGTCAGCCAGTGTTACCAACTTCCGATAAGTAAAAAAGGAGTGTCACAAAGAGCTTCTTTTCGAAACTACTTTCAGTGTCGAAAAGACTTCGATATGAAACCAAAATAGAAAATAGCTATTTATACAATAAGTTGCGAAATGAGCGTCTTTTAGGCACGCGACGTGAAAATTGTCCAACGAGGCAAAGCCGAGTTGGACAACACGTCGAGTGACTAAAAGACATCGTTTCGTAACGTATTGTATACAAGATTTTTTCTACTGGCATTTTATAATAAAAAAACACAATTTTATTTCATGTGAATAAGTCGATTACACCCAAAATCTTTGTTACCTGCTTTTACTTGGCACCTGACACTTTTCATGCGATTTTCTTTTCAAAATTCGACATCAATAATTAAAATCCTAGAAAGTAGGTAATAACACAAAGTTCTGTTTTGAGTAACCCAAACGTTCAATTCAGTAATTCCATTTTCAATATTCATATTAAATACAAAACAAAATTCAAATATGTGTTTAGTGTGTTTTTTATTTCTGAATAATGAATGACACTTTTAGGCACTAGTGCTTAAAAATTACATTTACGCACTCATAAGTCACTTTTACGCATTCAAAAGTCACTTTTACGCACTGAGTGCTTAAAAGTAACTTTCACGCACTCAGTGCCTAAAAGAATGTCGTTTCAAAACTGAAATGACAATCGAAAAGTTGCTATTATGAAACGTCAGTAGAAAAAAACTTTTATGTCATACCAGTTGGTTGTGAATAATAAATACCTGGGAAAAAAGTGTCACTTCGCAAATTGTCATCAGTGTGCAAACATCATAATTTTTTGACAAAAATAATATGTTTATCAGTGAGATTTATATTTTGTTAATGAAGAATAAGTTACTTAATTGAAAACTGTTTTTTGCGTCTTTATGCCCGCTGATAAAGGCTGGATCACCTGAAAATACTCAAATATTGGATACTAAATGGGTATTTACCAAGAAACTATAAGCTTGATTGGTAGTGAGAGGTTTTGCATATTTGAATTATGATAAAATTTATTCACCAGTGGAACACTATAAAGACCATGGTTAGTGAAATAGGTATCTACTAAAAGAGACAATCGAAAGTGAGAGCGAAACCACTCTATAACTTTCCGATTAGGCCAGACACACAGACATTTGAAGTAATGTTTACACGGTTCCAAATGGCTTGGCCAAAGAGGGTAAAAAGTATTGCAGGTATTTTGAACCTTAACAAGTCACTTATGGCCTAAAACGAGCATCCCAATGTTGGACAAGATAGATGATTTATTGATGCCTGCATTGGTTTTTATGTATGGTACTCTGACTTTCCATTAGTACCAGGAAACACAGCTTGTATCTTGCCCATTGGCCATTGTTTTCTTGGTACCTATATTGTCTTCAATGATCACTACAATGTCGTCTTGCTTTAACTGTTGTCCATAATCATTCCACTTTGATCTTTTCATCAATGTCGGTAGATATTCTTTACTCTACCTTGTCCAAAATTAATCTATCAATAATTGCTGACAACTCTTCCAATGAACTCTAAGATCCCGTTATTACATATCTGTAAATAAATAAATCAGTGTTCGATTGTCCCATAATAAAATGGTTTGGTGTTTCGACAAATAGTGTTAAAAGAAGTTCATCTTTAAAATTTTGATTTTTTTAGTAAAATGTTGAAAGTAATTTTGACTGAACGAACTAGTTTTTCCTATGCTGCCCCCATATGTGGCGATACTGGTGGTATAAACTTCCAAATGATTTCATGACGTCATCTTGCTTATTTCTTTTCGTAGCTTCTTCAATTCTTCTGATGCCCCTCGAAAATTTGTACCATCATCCATATAAATTTTTTCTGAACAACCTCTTCTGCTTGCCATTCTTTTGATTGCCATTATAGCTGCATCGGTAGTAAGTGAATGTTCTACTTTTAAATGTATGGTGATACAAGTGAACAACACTCCCCATCTCTTTTCTGTTCTTCTATCTACGTTAACATATAACGGACCAAAAAATATCTATTCCCTTGTATGTGAATGCTTTAATGTCCGGAGTCAGTCTAAACGTAGGTAGCTGTCCCATATTCTGTATATAATTGGTCTAATTTTCTTGACTGGCAATGTGAAAACTAACTCTTGACTGAAGCTCTAAGATGTATTACCCAAAGACGTTGTCTATAATTTCATTTATTACAGTTTCTAAACCCTGATGTGCAAACTGTTCATGATACTTTTGAATATGTAACATAGTATATCTGTGAACTTCGTTGACCAATCAGAAACAACTACTCCGAGGGCAAAGAACCCCTACCGGCGTTGAACTACACTGATTGGCCTCAGATTTCGTTGGCAATGAAAATTGTTAGAAAGATTTTTTCAGGTACGGGAGGTCTGAATTCACTGCTCAGTGGGTCGATTCCCAAACAGGGACCGTAGTGTCCCTGTATTCACGTTGGTCATTACCTGAAAAAATCTTTCTAACATAGTATATCTGTGTTTCGATGGCAAAATAACTAGACTTCTTGTGTCACAGTATCTGGTGTCAAATTTATTCTTCCATCTACCACAAAGATACTCGTTGCATTAAGTTTCGATGGTAGCTTCCATATCCCACTTTGCTTGGGTAAAAGTTTTTCCTTTTTCAAACAGTTTAGTTTATTTCTTCTGCAAAACTTTCTAATCGACACTGTCTTATCCATCTTGTTCAGCTTCTTTTGTACTATCAACTCCACTGACTGACTTTTCTTTCTGGAGAATAGTAATAAATTTAAAAATTCTTGCCGTTGCACATATTAAACAAAGCCATTTTGACTGACATGTTTTTATAGTTAAATTTAAAAATTTTGTCCGTAATGGCTGTGTAATTTGAGACTTCAAATTTTCGAAGAATATATCTTTTTTGGGTCATAAAAATTCGTCTTTTTCTTTGAAATCTGTCATAACTGTACTTTGTGTGTCATATATTCTTGTCGCGAGGTCAGCTGGATTCAAATTACAAGGTACCCATCTCCAAATCAGATATGTCTTGAATCTCCCCAACTCTATGAGATTCAAATTGTCCAAGTTTTATGTCATCTCTTTTAATCCAATGTAAAACAATAGTCGTCCACATGTAGATTTCGTGAATATTGATGTTCGAAGCATTTTTTGCAATCACAAGCAGTCTGCTTCCCAGTACTACTGACCTTGTCTCACTGCCAGAAAATTGTGCATGTTGTATAGCAATTTCTAGTTCTATTACCTTTTTTTCCTGTGCACACTTACTTCTTTCCATTTCCATTTCAAACTCTAATTTTTTCTTTTCCATTTCGATCATCCTGTTTTCCAGATTATTTTTCTTTTTCTCAGCCGCTAGTTCAATCATCTTTCTTCTCATTTCGGAATGAGGATCAAGGTGTTTTTTACCTGCAGTTTCACGTTTTTTTCTACCTGACTTATTGGTATTTTCGGGGAGAATTTCATACATCTGTCAAAACTGGTATTCCAACAATAAATTGACATGTTTTGATTGTTGATTTGAACCAATCAGATTGTAATTACGCGATAATTTGCACTAGTGCAAATTATCAGATAATTGCATACTAACTCGTGCGAAAACTGGTGTTTTGACATTTTTTGACAAAAAATTTAAATTTTTGATTTATGAAATTCTCTCATTAAATATAACTCGTGCAATGGAAATATATTTTTAATTTTCGACAAATTTGCACTCATGCGTTTTTAACTGAACGTTTTCAACTAATGCATTCGGGCAAATTTCCCAAAAATTATCAATAATTTCCATTGCACTAGTTATATTACTATTGATAATACCACGAGAGCTTCAAAATTACCGATAATTTTTCACGATTGCGTTTTTTCTATAATTTCGCGAGTCCGTTAGGACGAGTGAAATTTGCAGAGAAAACACGCATGAGTGAAAAATTATCTGGTTCATTTTAAAGCTCAAGTGGTATTTAGAGGATTATTTCACGTATGAGAATGCAAAAAATATGGAAATAAATATGCATTAAACGATATGAACATCTTAACAATCAATACAAATAAATGGTTGCTATCAGGAACCGTTTGTTTTTATCAAAAATTAGCATGACAACCATGTATACAATAACATGGGAGAATTATCGCTGTAATTCTCTCTAGTTAAACAAATGGAAAAGAGAATTTTCGCTGTAATTCTGAAAATCGTCACTTGTCTTATGAGTGGAATAATCACTATTCTCCATATATTTTTCCATGGGTTTCTTTTTTTTGGTGATTTTCACTGTTGTCTTTTTTTGTAGGACAACTTCGTCGTCTCGAAGGACCAATGTTAAAATGTTACTGCCGCCTGGCTTCTAGACTCGTACAAATTCGTATCTCAGGTTGGAGTCTTTTTGGCAATAATTATTATTTTTTAACATTAATTGACAATTTAGTGCCTAATTGTCAATTAATTGCTGACGACACACACTTTCATTGGGGGGACAAACAAAGCTTTAAAGGACTATTCATACACACAGGCGCTACTTGTCACCAATAACATATAACGTCACTTTCGACAGGGGGACAAACATGTCATTGAGGATGTGTGTGACGTCAGCTAGTACCTGACAATGTTTTTTAACAATCATAAATAAATCTACTGAACAATGTCTGTCTAACAGACGCATTTTCGAATCCTAAAAAATGTTAATGATGCCCCAATTTTCAAATTCATAAGGAAGAGGGATTCAGTTTTCTACAGTTGCAGCTACTCCTGGAGTGGAAACTGTGCAATTCTCATTCAAATGTTACCTACGCACAATCATTATCAGAGCCAATTTGACGATAGATATATCTTTAAATCCGAAGTAACTACATAGAAACTTATTGGATTTGATATGCATTTCAATATCATTTACAAAAATGTTAAAAAACAAGGGTCCAAGGACTGAACTTTATACGGTGATCTATTTTTGACTTTTATCCTTCAAGTGTTCACTATCTTTGAAAAAAGGGCAAAAGTTTATTTGTTTTTGCAATTACTACGTCAATTATTATTAGTCAACGGGCCACTTGAATAAATTTTTAGATACCTAGTTATTAATAACAATTTTTTTTATAACTACGATAAGATTGCATCGTATTATACGCTTCAAGGTTGTTGCATCCTTTGAGAGCACTATTTTCATCTGTCCTTATTCCACTGAAGCCTTTAGGTTGCCTGATAACTTTTATTACGTCATCTGGGGTGCCTAAACATAATGCAAATCTACATTAGGCACCCTAGATGACGTCATCTGTTTGCCATTACCAGACGACCTATCAACTTTAAGAATCTTGCCATCTCTTTCTATGGCATTGAAATCTCTGCACGTGAGACGAATGACGATGCGTTGCCAACTGGTAGTTAGTTGCCTAAAAAAAATATTCACTTAGGGTCAGTTTCACAAACAGCGACATCCCACAATAGGCTTGTTCCAACACTTCCAACCGTTCCATGAATGGTTTCGAAACCACTCTGTATACGAATTCCGGGTTCTACGCACACACACACACAAGGAGTATACTGCATCTACTGTCCCTGGCCAGAGGACTCTTCCATTTGGCTTATCTAATGCTCCTGCAACCTGCCAAAGAATCATTGACACTATTCTTGGTCCAGAACTCGAACCAAATATCATGTGCTACATTGAAGACGTGATGATAATTTCTAACTCTTTTTCAGAACATTTGCGACTTTTGGAGGTTGTATTTGATTTTTGGCTTTCCGCAGAATCATGAGGTACATTGTATACAGTTTCTTGATGTGTTGGAACAATGCAATTATATCTCTCATAATGTGTTAACTTGTGCTGAGCCAAAAATATTGGTCAAGCATGAGAAAACTCATTTTTCGAACTTGGTTAACTCTCAACCATTAGTTTGATAACCATTACAGGTAACCACCAATTGTGGAACTGGCCTTATTATTATTCTTAAATAAGGCTCTTTGGTCGGAGTCTCATGCATCCGTTTTCCGACGTCCGAAAAACCTATTATTCTGACATAATCGTATACAAATACGTCAGAATATAGAAGGTTTTTCGGACATTGGAAAACGGATGCATGAGACTCCGGCTTTTCTCTTCTTCAAAGTCTGATATAGAATTGACATTCATTATATATCATCATAGTTTTTGGATAGTCTCATATATACCACAGCAATATAAACAGTACCTATATCAACTTATATTCTGATGTGGCCAAGTCTTAACTTTATTTCATTATTAACCATGAGAAATGAGAATTATTGACCCTCTGGTTACTTATAAACCGTCCTATATACAAAATAAAAATTGATTACGAAAGAGAGCCACCAAAAAATATCATTATTTTCCAAAATCTTATCCTAAATTTCTCAGAATTTCCTCAAACCCTTTATAAAAATAATAATTGACGTAATGTTTTCAATTTCTATGCCTATTTTTAAAGATAGTAAGCACTTGAGAGGTAACTGAATCAGTATAAATAGATGCGCTTGCAGTAACAATAATCATACACTACACTGCAACGTCAGCCACCATGAAAGTATTCATTATTACACTTTTGGCTACGATAGCCGCCGTCCAGGCATCACCTTTAAACGCCAGCTGCACAGTTACTTCTTACTCAGGAGTAGCTGCAGCTCTAAAAAGCTGCACTACCTTGGTACTGAAAGACATCACCGTACCAGCTTCGACCACTTTAGAACTAACTTTGAAAAATGGAGCTTCTTTGACGTTTGCGGGTACCATCAGATGGGCTTATGCTCAATGGGCGGGACCTCTGATTGAAATCAAAGGCAACAAGGTTACGGTTAATGGTGCTGGAGCCACTTTGGACGGACAGGGTAAGAATAGTGAATATTGATTATTTATTTAAAAAAATTGTGTATTGCACTGAATTCTTACAAAGATAAAACTGTTTCTTTATTATTTAATCATTTAACTGTCTGGATATTTTCGGTTCGCTAATCGTTCTGTAGACTAAATTTACGTGATCAAATAGAGACATAAAATGCCATGCAAGTCACTCGTTATAGTCCAATCTGGCTGGAAGATCCACTAGAAGTTTTATGTCCATTTCTGGTAATTTTCGTTCTAGTACTGTAGCCTCAAGGTATAATTACGAATCAGTCGATACCGAAGAGTCTGCTCTTTCTTTTTCTTTACGTCAGCTAATAGTGATAAACCATATTTAATAGAGAGTCATTTAGGACGTTGGTACAAACATTTCACAATAAATACAGTATTTTCTGAGAGATGCATGATTATATTTTGTGACTTCATGATAATTAGTTTATTATTCGTTTTCTCAGGTGCAAAATGGTGGGATGGAAAGGGCGACAAAGGAGTCAAGAAACCCAAATTCCTCAGAATCAAGACTACCGGAGGATCGACCATCAAAAACATAAAACTATTGAACTGTCCTAAGCAATGTGTCTCTATTAATTCTGCAAGTAACACCGTCTTGGATCACTTTGTTGTTGATGTTTCGGCCGGAGACGCCAACGTAAGTTAATTTTCATTCTCCTATCAATCACTAACAAGTTTTAAACAATACTTTAATTACTTCAATTTTGTAGGGCAAGGGCCACAACACTGACGGTTTTGACGTATCCAGCTCTACAGGCATCACTGTCCAAAACAGTGTCGTTAAAAACCAAGACGATTGCGTGGCCGTTAACCAAGGATCCAATTTTATCTTTCGCAATTTGACTTGCTCCGGTGGACACGGTTTGAGTTTGTCCGTCGGTCAAAGCTCAGCAAGCGGCTCTGCAAACACCGTTAAAAACGTAACGTTCTCTGACTGTACCGTACTGAACTCAGACAACGGTATCCACGTGAAAACTCATTCAGATGCCGGTACCGGTTCTGTTTCCGATGTTACTTACAAAAATATCAATTTGTCTGGTATTAGGAAATACGGCATCAATGTGCAAGAAGATTATGAAAAGGGCCATCCCACTGGAAAGCCAAAAGCCAACATTCCAGTCAGCAAATTGACGATGAGCAATGTTAAAGGCTCTATGTCAGGAGGCATGGGCGTTTATATACTCTGCGCAAGTGGTGGATGTAGTAACTGGTCTTGGTCCGGTGTTGCCATTAGCCATGGCAAAAAGGGCAACAGCTGTAACTTCCACCCTTCAGGATTTTCTTGTTAGTTAGTTAGTCATTATATTATTGTAATTACGAATAAAATATGTTTTACAAAAATATCATATTGCTTCAGTTCTATGGAATTCCTGGTAGGACAATTTTTGGTACCAAATTCCTACAAGCTAACGTAGGACTTTTTTCAGGCAACCAGCCAATTAAATAAATAGGGATGTATAAATATAGTGAAATTGATGAAATATTGGATGCACGTCATCAGTTTCAGTACCACCACTTGTGGGTGATGTTGCCAAATGTTGCCTTCTGCAAATCTGCAATTCTGAAGATGTGACATTTCAGTTTTTATAACAAGTCGGGGATTGAGAGTTGGGATATAATTTAAGTATACTTGCTATACATTTCTTTTAATGTATTTTCGTTTTTCTGGTATTGGTAATTCTTATTGACCTATCAATAAAAATGTAACGTGGGAAGATGACTTTACTAGACATGGTATGTCAAAGTAAAAAAAGTTGATGCGGCAACATTGCGCCGTGCTTATTATTATTATGATGTAAGCATTTTTATGACGTGCATCCATTATTTTATTCATTTCTCCATACCTACTTGGGCACTATAATAAAAATGAAAACAATGATTGATCTAACACTAACAGAACAAGCGAAGTGCACCTTTGTGAAGATGAAACGTCAGTTCAGTTCTGTAACAACTCGACTTTGAAATAAGAGAAGTAAGTGAAATGCTCGTCAAAATAAGTGGGACAGACAGTCAGTGACGGCTTGTCAGATTCAATCTCAGTTTTTTATTCCTGATTCCTAGTTAAAATATTAATCCACAAATTACACTTTCCAAATTTCGATATTTCAAAGTAATTTAGAAAAATCTGACATTATTTCAATCAATCCTGCGCCTCCATGAAAAATCTGTGAATCTGGGATACTCAGTAGTAATACGAGCCCGAAGGGCCGGAGTTATACGCGAGCTTAAAGGGCCGGAGTAATACGAGCCTGAAGGGCCGGAGTTATACGCGAGCCCGAAGGGCTAGAGTTATTTTAATCACGGGGACCAGTCTATAATTTTATTGATCAGCGGATAATTTGGAGCCAATCAAAAATCGGGAATATTCAAAATGTGATTTTTAGTCGATATTCCGAGTTTCAATTCTCTCCGATGTACCGGAAAAAAGTTAGGTTAGGGTTAGGTCACCGGTGACCTACACCCTAAAATTAAGATTACGCCCCCATGGAGAATGATATCACTCTATTTCAAGTACTGGCATTCTTCAAATGCCATTTTCTATCCAAAAATTCAAATGGCCTGGGAGGAAATTTTTTTGAAAATCGGCTTGGCAGTTAACGTGTTAAAAAAAGGAAGGCTTATCCCTATCCCTAAAAATTCCAATGGTCAAACCACGACTTTTCCAAAATCCGACCCTGTCATTTATCCCAGCTGACAGAATCGGAACGCTAACGCATGCTGGCAACCTAGAGAAAAAGTTACTAGAAATGTCAATGTGAACTTCACTTTCTATCGTGATTTCAACTATAACAAATGCTAATATGCTGCAGAGTTTGGTTCAATTGCCCCACAAACCAGCTACTAAACTCCAGAGTTGGAATAGCCGATGATGTAGAAAAGAAGAAAATATGTACATGAAGCTAATGACGTATACAGAAGAAAAATATTAAAGATAATGAAAATATTTACATAAAATTCCCTGAAAAAAGAGCTGCTAAAACTAGGTCAGCGTCAAGGCAAGTTCCTTCAATTATTATACTCTATGCCCTATGCTATTTTTAGAGGCTCCCTTATTATATAGCAAGGCACCTATTTCTAAAGTCTCCTACCGAAGGTGAATATCGATTTTCTATTGCTTTCTTCTGTTAAGGGCTTATTGGATCATTATACCTTTCACCCCTTTTACTATACTGCAATTTAGTATTTATATTTTTATGTAAGATTTTATATTTTTTCGTTGTTGCGTTACTACTGTAGATTTGAATTCAGTTAGATCTACCTATCCATAAACAAATAATTTGTACTCCTAGCTAAATCAATGTAATTGTAACTGTAGCTATCAATACACATTGAATTACTGTAAAACCCTTAAAGGTACAAGAAAGATGAATAACAGTAAAACTTATAATATTAATTTAAGATATACAATTATTATTCACTTCATACATATAGAATAAAATTAATTTATTAATATCATGTGTATATTGCATACAAACACTGTTATTAAATTACATATAAACTCATCAGAGCAAAGACTACAAAGTATACAAGATGATTATCTAAGTTTTGCTGTTATGAGAAAAATATGTAAACAATTGAATACATTTTTTGCCGTCGCAATTTTTATTAATTAATAAAGTATTGAATTAGTTGCATGTAATTGATGATAATTTATATCAGCTGAATTATGAAGAGCAAAGAAAAGTGTGCCTACCGCGAGAAGTACTTGGAGCAAAACGATTTTTTCATTGTCTGCTTAAGGTTCATTAATTGTCTGCAGATAGCATAATTGGAATTATTTCCTCAATTCTACATTTTATTCATTTCGATTTGTGCCTACAAATTCCTGGATCTCTGATTTGATTAGAATTTTCTCAACAATGAAAAATTTTTAAATATCAATTTTAATTAACGCTTTTAAATTTTTTAATCTCCCTATCAAGGACAATCGTGTTTGAAATTGTAAATTGATAGATAAATATACTTAAGTACCTACATAGATGTTTACACGCAATGTTATGTTGTTCATTAATAAGACTCGGTGGTAAAATAATTCGTATGTCGTTACATTAAGGTAAATAAGGGAAAATCGATCAATAAACATAATGCCAGGTAAGTATTTTGGATTGCTTTTACATTTTTTTCAATAAAGTGTTGTTCTATCTATCTAATTTGAAGTGTTGAACATGGTATACCAGATATCATGGGGACGAAAAACTATGGAAAACCAACTGGCAGGAAAATACTTGAGGAGGTAATTTTCCTTCATATCGGCTTGTCTGACAACTCCGATTTGTAGGTACCTACCTTTGGACATCAGGAAAATTAACAACATGAAAATTGAAATACAAGGATTTAAATCTGACACAAGAAAATTTGCACTCAAGCATTTTATTTTATATTTCTATGGATGTTAAAGGTTATCTTGAATTTAGCAACTAAATTATTAATTTCCGGAAATTGATACAAGCAAATTGAATTAATCAAGATTAGTTTGGTATATGCTTCTAATGGAACAAAATTATTCATTAATATTATCACTCAAAAAATCTATTGGGATTATTTTCCTATATGACTTGTATATAGGTAAGTACTTTTAAAAGTATAGGTGACGTCAAAATTGGAATCTTTCTCTATTTTGTATAATTCAATTATTGTTGCTGTCTGACTTTCTTATATATACAAGTTCAAATTAGAAATTTAAATTTAAAAAATACCTGATCAATGTGCGTTTCCGTGCACTTAACGCAATAATTAACACACACACACACAGGAAACACACTGGTAGACGTATGGTCAAAAAACTACTGATTTATTAATTAATCATCCGCAGTAAGTCGGGAGGAAAACCGTCGGCCAATTAAAAAAATTATGATTCAATTGTGCACGTTTACTGATAAAATTCTACCATAACAATAAAGTAGGTAATAGTCATGGATGATAACTGTATTAAAAATGTACCTACATCAAAAATTGTGAAATATATTTCCACCTACTCAATAAAAGTTTGCTTCGCAAACATAAAAATCATCGCTTAGGAACATGTGTAATCCAAACTCCGAAATCACACGGTATGTCGAACATAAGTACTACCAAGCAAGTAAACAGTTATTATATTGTTAATCTTCCATCACCTTGAAACAATTAGGTATTGCATTGTATTTTGCGTAGGTAGGTACTCAATTAATTAAATGATTGCTAAGATTTGTTTCATGGCATAGTTTGATTTTTCAATTTTTTAAACTATTTGCTTGGGTACTTATTTTGTGAATCAATTTTTGGTACCTATCAATATTCTCGATTCAGGTTAATCGTGATTTTATCGAATCAAATCAAAAAATCATTGAAATATGAGTGTCAATGGCTTCCTTTTAAACAATCTGCTATCATCATCATTTGGATTAATTTATGTGGCCTTATTTGAAGCTGGTATCCATATGTTTTTGAATGTCTCGTTGACATTGAAATTTGGTTGTTGCTTCTGGATTTCTATATCCTTATGTATGTATGTATGTATGTATGTATGTATGTATGTGTTGGAGGTGTTAGTTGCACTGCGACCAAGATTGATCTATTGTACCCCTCCTTCTGCTGCTAAGTTTGGGTTTCCTGCTTAAAGCAGCCCCTCTAGTCCTAGGTCCTTCAGGAATTTTAGGATGTCAGCGATTCCAGGGCTGGAATGTCTTCCAGCTCTATAAGGGGACTTCCCAAGTTCTTCATTCTTGAACGGCTTACGGCATCGCAGTTCAGTAGAAGATGGTGAAGTGTTTCTTCACCGTCTTCACAGAATCTGCAAGTGTTACCTTCTTCCAACCCCAGATTATGTAGGTGCTTATTCAGTCTGCAATGTCCCGACAGAAACCCGGTTAGAGTTTCTGTTCCTTAGCCGGTTTTCTTCCTTTTTGAGGATTTCTTGGAGGTGCGCATTTCCAACGCCGGCGCCGCAGAATGGTTCTGGCCCAGTGAAGGGAGTGGCCGCTCCCGTTTTTGCAAGTTCGTCTGCGCATTCATTGCCCTCAACTCCTATGTGTCCAGGAACCCAGAGTAGGGTAACTTTGTTTTCCTTCCCCAGCTCATTGAGTTTCTGTAGACATTCCCATACTATCTTAGAATTGATTACCGGCGAGCTCAATACTTTGATAGCTGCTTGGCTGACAGACATTATTATAATTTCTCGTTTTCGGTACCTTCTGTTCAGGTAGAACTGCACGCATTTTCCGATCGCATGAAGTTCGGCTTGGAATATGCTTGGTGATTTGCCCATTGGCTTCAAGTATCTGGTTCGTGGCCCGAATAATCCGGCTTCTGTCCCCTCAGCAGTTTTGGAGCCGTCTGTGAACCATTTGATGGTGTTTGCTTTAAGGGACTGTATACATTCTATATTCCATCTGTTCTTTGTCTTAGTTCGATGGAAAAGTTTTTCTCGAAACTGAATTTATCAACAATCGCGTCTTTT